CCGCGCTCCACTGATCTGACGTCTCTTCCACCACCGCGATTAACTTTTCCTTGCGAAGAGGGCGTCATGGCAAGGAGTAACTGTGGCTGTGCCATTAGCTCTTCCCGAAGTCTTCCGGCCTAAGTTAGTCCTGAAAATTTCTTTGAGACTTTACCTTCTTCTGACGTTGTTCCTTATCTTGCGCCGCCAGAAGAAAGAGCCACGAACAACACGTGTAGGAAAACCTGTTATCGATCTTTCCCATTTTCCCATTCCCATATGCGCCTGTCTGATTGTCCTTCCCACTGGTTGTCTCGCTCGGCGTAAGTGCTGTCAATCTCTTCGGGGGTCGGTACGAGTATCTCCTCCCGCAACTGTAACGGAGCCGCTTAGTATCTAATCACCGGTCGATTCGTGAAATGAAAGCGTATCAAACGTTCGTGATTCATCATCATCATCATTTTTTTTTGGATCGCCAAACTCTCATGGCCTTACTGTGAGCCGAACCCAAAACGTTTCTCGTTCCCCATTCCAGGAAGGAAAAACGGCGATTCGGCAATGCAAGCTGACTCAACGGCTATTCAGAATCTGACGCTATTATTACTATCTATCTCGGTGGACTGGGCTTTCGGCCGAGGCGTGGCGACGGACCGATATCCGGTTGAGGTGGGTTTCGTGAGATCCTTGGTGCAAGAAACATACCCGAGTCCAATGTAGACGCTCGCGGATCCAGAGACGAGATGACAGGAGAAGAGTGGCGACCCACTTGTTACTACGGATCGTCGGGACCGACGTCATAGTAGCTGGACCTGTCGAGACGGCACCAGGCACCGTTCTACCTGTGAAAATCCCAACCCCTTGTATGTAATCCATTCAAACAGACAATCTATTCGTGATCAGAGCCCAAGTAAGTAATGATAATATGCAGGGGTGCATGTATGGTAACGTCCGTACTATACATGCTTTTCGTGGATGAGAGGGTATGGTATGTAAGTATGAGTGAGTAACTGACTGGTAGTACAAAAGTTGGTACAGATACGAGAGGAGAGGAAAACACAAGAACCGTCCATCCGCTGTTGGTGGTACAATGTCTAGCGAGAGATGATGAGGTAGTTAGTACAAACCACCGAGAGTGGGAAGATGAATAAAGATATTGATGTATGGAAGCCGTTTCGATTCGTGTGTGGCGATCGGTCATATGGCATTCACCGTCTATGCGCCTATCATCGTTTCCCCTGCTCCTCCGGCACCGCCAACGAAGCACCACTGCTTCAAAAAGGCTTTGTACAGATCTTCCGACGAAGACGGGGGGCTAGGCGGTTTTTTTCCCACTCGCGGCGTGGGTATAGGTGGGGGTGATGGAGTAGCTGGAGGGGGAGATGGAGAAAGGACTGGTAATGCCAGCGGTTTCGGGGTTAGCGGCGGTGACGGTGACGGCGATTTTGGCTTGCGTTCGGGCTCGATGGCGTCTGAATTAAGCATCGAGAAGGGAACCGGGAGACTTGCCGGCTCAACGTACACGGGTACTTCCCCCAATGCATTGATCCGCTCCTCGATAGGAGAGTCCAACGGGGAGCTGCTGCCTCTCGACAGAGCAGGCGTCACATCTCCATCCCCGTCAGAATGCACTGGGGAACTCGAACCCGTTTGCGGCTTGCTCGAGCCCCAAAACCAGAACACGCCAGCGCCCTCTGCTTTCTCTGTAGTAGGACTCAGCTGGGTAGGGACAGCATTGGGCTTGGCATAGTTGGCAAGCTTGAAGCCTTTTAGACGATGCTGGAGCGTCGCCTCTGATTGTGCACGGTTATGTTGGGGAGGAGGGAGCGGAACGATTGACAAAGGAGGTGACAAGGGTGACGAAGAAGGTGACAAGGTGGGTGTCGAGGTGGTAGAAGATGGTGGACTCGTAGATGAGGAAGGAGCAATCGTTGGGAACGGAACGGAACTCTCGGGAGGAGCTTTTATCGACGTTACCGGCGCGTGGGCTTTCTCGACCGTTACAGGTGGTGCTTCTGTCGTTGAATTCAATGAAGAAGTAGGAACGGAATGAATAGTATGGACTTACGGTTGGGACTCCGAATGAAGGCCACGCGATAGTTTTTCCCGGCGTTATTGTCCCACCATTCACCTCCACCTGCGGAATATCGTAGAACGAGAAAGATGGTACGATCAATAAGGGTCGAAGAATAATCTTCTAATTTGATTGTATATTCAAAGCGGTCCCAAACGGCAGGTCCTCCTGCAGCGACACCTGCAGCGACGTCACCTACAGTGAGGTTCTTCTTGGACAAAACAGGTAACGAGGGCAACGAAGTTTGATACCGAGCGGCAACTTCAGACGTCGTCTGCCAATCGTCGAGAGTGAACCTGACGTAGACCTGCTTCTCGTATGATATATTGCGCACGAGCAGTGTGCCCTTGAGCGCCAGGGTCGATTGGGGAAGAGTTAAGGACTCGAGTATTACATTACAACCCTCTCTTGGCACTGCAGGGCTTGGAACAATGTCGGTAAAGGGAGACAGGGAGTACGCCGGGAGAACCGAAGGGAATGGGAATCGCGTATAACGAGAAGAGCCTTCGACCTCGGTTTCGGTTTCGGTCTCTGCGTCCGAAGCGGTTGTTCGAAGCAACGAAGCGGGTTTCGCAGACTTGTTGAACACACGAACTGTTTCGAGCTGGTGGGTAGGAAAATGGACATTTTTATGGCAATGAGATTCGTGAGAAGAAAGTGCAGGCGTAGATGGGGCCGAGCGAGCACGGGTATGTTGGACAGACAATGAGGGCATATCAGGGACCGAAGACGAACGTGGTGACCCCTTGAGTGAAGATTTGAGAGGGCGGCCATTGGAGAGCAAGACTGGGGTTGAGTTGGTCCTCTGTGGGGGAGAGGGCCTGCTGGGAACCTCTGGGCTAGGGCTTCGCGGCGAGGGCGAGCTTCGTGGGAAAGGTACCGCTAAGTGTGTATCGAGCCGCAATGGCTTTTTACCTGCTGGAGGTGAGCTAAGCAAACCATACTCGTCGTCGTCTGAAGAGCAGTCGTTCTGAATGTGGAAGACCGGCCGGTGGTGCGCAATCCGAGGCAGCGAGCCAAGGGACGCAAAGGCGCCTGAGGAATGGGTATACGAACGGCGGTGAGTAGGACGGCCTGCGCTGGGGGTAGGTAGCGAGTAGGGCATACGGCCTTCGAGGGAGGGAGTGGTGGTTATCGTCAACTAGCGGATGCGGCCATTTTTTGATTCAGTCTCTTTTCTTTTCAAGGCTCCACTTTGGAATCTCCGATCCTGTTAGGTCGCCCGATTCCATCTCGTGTCTTATCTCCCGGCATTTCCTCGATCTCATTGGTCGGCTTTCGGCACAGCATCAAAAATTTCAGCCGCGCTCTAGATACATATACATCCCCATTTGGAACATTTTATACCTTCTTATCTGATCGTATTACCCCATCAGTTTTGCGTACACTTTTCCATTCACACAACATTCACGTTAAAATATTGTTCATGGGTTGCGCAACCGCAGAATTCATCGTCGCCACAATCACTTCTCGTAACACGCCCCCGGTAACCTAGCTTCGTCTACTCAATAATCTCACTGGCTAGCTATAAGTAGCCACTATTCCGACTCTTCGGCGCAGAACTGCAACGGTACCCTCTGCGCCTGTCGGACACGTCCTTCACCCACTGTTCGCTTTTTATTTAAATATAAACATGCCAAAAAATCCCCAGCCCCGCCTCCATTCTACCACTGCGACACGTTCGTTCAAGGTTGTTAATCCTGTTCATCACATCTTCCTGCGAAACCGCAATCAACTCCTTCCGATTCTTGATATTTTCGGCTGATCCTTCTTCTCCCACTTCGGGTTCAAGCTCCCAGTCTGTGTGATCCTCGCTATCATCCTGGCAACTATTCATCCCTACGTCGAACGTCAATCAACGTCGTTGGTTTCTCTGGATGATAGTAGTTGTATTCTGAGTCGTCATGAACCTTTCCTTTTACTACCGGTGAGAGCACGTACCTGTAACATACGAACATCCAAGCATTTTCGCAGGCGTCGAAGCATCGAATTCTGGCTTAGCCTCTTGACGACCCTTCATCTCATTACGTGGAGCCATGTTACCGTCCTATATCTTCTTCTCGCATGCAGTATGTATTCCACTGCGCTGATATCACGCCCCATTGATTGTCCGCCCAACTCTCGGGCTTCGCGTGAGACTCCCTCTGATCCACTCATTTTTGGAGTCCCAGTCGGGTTCGTATTAACGACGCCTTCTATTCAAAGGAGGGCCGCCACTGTTCACGTCTGTCGATGAAGACCGTGTCCTCAGCTATCCTAGCGGTGCGTTGGCTTTCCGCATGTCAGCACTGGCCTTAACTTCCCGTGTAATCCCATAGCCAAGCAATCGGTAGAGCGTCTATTGTTATCATTGCATCTTGGGAACAGCTTAGGAACGAGCGAACTCTTCGAAGAACATTTATCTTTCTATCCAACCATCGTAGCACGCCCGATGCATAGGCTTTCGACGAGAATAGCACATGGTTCACTTGACATATTTCGAATGGTTGATACATGAATCTGAATCACTGGGTTTGAATGTTATCTTCGTCCAAGTCATGGGTCACTCGCGCATCGTCATCAGTCTGAGTCCTAACATTAATCTCCTATTCGACCTATGATGTATGGTCTTAACCCACGTTCACTAATAGTACTCAACATTCTCGGCACATACATGTACCTTCCGAATTCGTAGTTACACTGCAACTCTGGATCGTTTGTCTAGACTTTTCAGGATGAGCCATACATATCTCCTTCCGCTTGATGACTCCTGTATATTTGCATCATTCGTGAGATCGATAACTTCTAGGCGCTGTGTACAGTTGGCTCGAATCCTTTGTCGTCATTTTGGTCCCGGGTGGTCAACGTAACTTCCAAGATGAAGTAACCAGTTACATCAACGATTACAACTTACTGGTAATAGTATTAGAGGATGATTATACACGAAACACAAAGAGTTAAAGAGGAAAAATGGGGACACCCAGAATTGAACTGGGGACCTCCAGAAGATACTAACGAATTTCGAACACATACTTCAGTCTGTTGCTCTCCCAGCTGAGCTATGCCCCCATAAATGGCTCTTTCTACTGATCTTCCTGAATGTCTTGACCAATCACCTCGGATTCCTGTTACCATATTCTCGGCAACCAATCTCCATTAACGCCATAGTACACACCTCAGAACGCCAAGTAACCGAGTAATGATTAAATCAAGAACCTACGTCAGAAAGGCGTCACCCGAATCGTTCTTGGTCACCTCGTGTTCCTTTCCTTACCGTCACACAAGCGTGTCGGCGTCGCTCGATCCTCAAAGATCAGAAGTGAGGCGTCGGTGTTTGGAGTACAAGTGGAGAGGACGTCGCAATCTCTGCCTAATTCGCGTGGATTATTCTGCTCCAACAGCCAAACTTCCGGGACCTTCTCTACGTACATCCAAAATCGCCTAATAGCCACCAACGTCAGAAATATCTTCGGCAAGTACAAAGATAGTCATCTCTCGTGGGATCCTGTCGTACTAACGTCAATACTTGGACACGAATATCTATTGGGAGCACATGCTCTGCATTCGGACGTTCCACGTCCCCGGCAGCGGCGGGATTGAAGAATGGAAACCCGTGCGCTTAAGAGAGAGGGATAGCAACCCGAGGCGGCGCAGTCGAAAGCGCATGGGCGTAGCGGCGGACTCCGTAGTCAAGGAACCAGGGACAGCGAAGCACGGAGGCGCAGGGTCATTAAATAACATATCTGCAGGGCTCTGTGGTACCTACCCTTCCCTGCTCCCACGTCACTTTTAGCTTTGATACGATAATAATACGAAGACTTTCCGCACACCTTACGATATGGGTGGAGCGATACTCCCCCAAAACTAAGAACTTCCTGTGCTGAATGGTCATTCCCGCGAACGCCTTCAAATTTGAAGTTGGAGCCGGGAGTGAGTGGTTCATTGAGATTTCATTTACTGGAAATGTAAAAAGGCTAAAGCCGAGAGAGAGAGATTGGAAATGTAAGGGGCGGTCGCCGGTCCAGGGAGGAGAGGTTGGATTTGGTACGGACGGCTTTGCCAAATAACGCGTACGCGTCCCTTAGTAAGAATCGGCTTCGAGGTTGCCGACTTGTTCTGTCCCAAATCGGGTTTTCGATTGCTACAGAATCGAGTCTGGGACTTACCCCTTTGGCAAATAAAGCCGTATCCAGTAGGGGCTATACGGGATCCTGCTCCTATCATGCTCGGTGTTGAACATTCAATCAGAGTCTCGATCCACACAATGGACGAAGCAGACCCACTATAAAGTAAAACCCAATGGATACCGGTCCGATCGCCAATGAATTATCGGCCGAACGACCGTACATAAAGCCGATCACCAATTTCTTTGTGAAACATAAGACGCGATCGTCCCATTCACTGGAAGTCCGCGATCAAAAACAAGGCAATCGAGATGAAATCACGAAGCTTTCATTTTTGCTGGCTGGTGATTAGATAACGTCCAAGCAGCTCGCAGACGCTTACCGATTCTCTGAGAAATACCGCCCGGCTCCGTTTACGTCGCTTACCGATTGTCCGAAAAATACCGCACGGCTCCGTTCGCAAACGTAAACAGTACGAAAGTTCGATTGGAGAGTACACAGTGTGTACTGTGAAACAGAGTTCGATCCAGAGCAGATACTTTGGCGTTTCCAGAAGGTAGTGGTGCATGTACTCGTGGCAACGATCGAGCCAACAACACAGCCACGATTGCTCTTTCCTTCGAACAGTCATGTTCCTGGCTTAGCAATCAGAGTATCGCAGCTTAGCCTCGAGAGGTTAGTAAGACGCCATGTCAGTACGTTCGCTAGCGTTATCTGTTGGAACGTGTTTAGGCTCCGGTGGAGTGGAACGTGCGCAAGACCATGACATCAGGGAATTTCTACGTGGCGAGTCTTTCGTGGGCCGATATGGACGGTGTCGTTATTGGTGGATATTCATCAGCGTAATAAGTGGTGCTGCTAATTTTGTGCGTTCTATAAACTATGCTTTCCGAGTTTCTCGTCGCTTACGCTCGCTTCGTGAATTGTCGATGATGCCTCGACCACGTCCATGAAAGTTTTTTCTGGCTTTGTTTTCGACACTCCTCGTTTGGTATTCCATTCGATGTTCCGGATAGACTTGTATCTGGCCGTTCGCGTCGTGTACTGTGTTTACCTTGTCAACATCGGAAGATTAGACTTTGTGGGGGGGTCTCGTACAGACGCTCCAGAAGCTTTGTTTCCAGTGAGTCATTCATTTTATTATACAACGTCTGTCGTCTGATGCGGCAAAAGTATCATGTTCCAGTTTCAGCCTCATCGCAAAAGGTTCCTCCATCACCGACTACCTCCATCGTCACTTTGTCCAATCAATGTTCAGAGGCACCTATGCCGATGGTCAAGAAGAACCCGTGTGAAGATGTTCACTGACGCACCTGAGAAATCAACCTATCGATCTCCTCCGCTACTAGCGTCGCGAATCGATGGATCTGGCTACCGGCAATTTTGGCCCACTCTGCATGGTTGCACTGAGAGATGCTCTTCGCGGCGGCTTGGGCAATGATATCTTCACCTAGAGCGATCTCTGGGAAAGGTCGCCCTGGCAGGTCCACCATCATTGCGGCAAGATATTCGGGTAACCAATCATGTGTCGAAAAAGGTTGATCTCCTACAATGCATCCACGACCGGTTGTCCTCCCGCACCACTGACACTTTCCGCGGTATAAAAAGATGAGTTCAGACGTTTTCCCTTTCAGCCATGGCATGCGAGTAACTGCCGATGATGCCGACATGATGGCTTGAGCGGCGATACCACACCGCCTGTGGTAATCTCGGAGAACGACATATTGGAAGGCATTAATGCATTTCAAGTCTTCGAACGCGACTTCGGTGTCAAGCGGGGTGGCAAGTGTGTGTCTTGCCGCCGCCTCGCCTAATATCTTCCATCCATTGCTGACTGCATGAGCAAAGACCTGCAGTGCCTGCTCTCTTATCAGAGACGATGCAATTACGGTCTGAAAGAAACGCTCCGATGCATTATCCATGCAGTACTTTTCCAGTGCCCTTCCCACCTCAACGAGTTGCCTGATGCTCTTGATCTCGGGAGAGGCGTATGGGTAGCAGAGCAGGAGGATAATAAGGAATATGTCACTGTTCTCCTTGACCTCGAGGACAGGAAAACCGTCTCTGACCTCTGTGTGCTGGTTAGTTTGCAGAACATGCCGAAAGAACGACGATGGAGATTTCAGCGACAGCAGCCCGCTGAGGACGAAGAAGTCGATGTTGTCGGCCGTGCGGATCACGAGATCAACGCTATCAGTGGGATTGTTGAAGGGGGCGTTGGCGGTGGTTTTCGTGGGTTTACTGGGCATTGATAGCAGATGCGTGTGAAGAGAGAAGGGGACAAGGGGGACAAGGGGGATCAGTTTCATGCTTCTTGTGGCGCCTCGTGACTTAGGCGCCTATGCCTTAGGACCGCATATACTTACGCAAGGAAATACATAGATGCTTGGAGTATGTCGCTGCGCTCTCTTTTGGCGTCTCATAATTCTAGCATTTAGCACTGATGCTCCCAGGACACGCTTGAGTACTTCGCCCCAAATACGGCTCTGTCAAAGACTGAGAGAATGTTTTGACAGAGTGAACGCACGATCTGACCATCTGCTATTTTGGTTCTACATATCATGACTATCGAAGAAATAATATGCTTTACTAGACTTTAGATAAGTCGAGTGCGCCGGAAAAGAATTACGTCACGCGTATCTTATGTAAGGCATACCGCGGCTTTCCCCGATCGTCCTTTCGTTTTTCCCTCTCAATCCGTGCTCGCTGCAACTATCAGTTCCGAGTCTGAGTTTACTCTTCCCTGATATCTGTCGTCTCGCTTCAGCTTCCGCTCTTGGGAAACTGTTCGATATGAGGTACTAAGTTCTATCACTTGTCTATCACAGCCCATTCATGATTCGAGTCCTGTAGTCCAGATAGTGCTTTCTAGCAAGGAACAGCGTTATTGCTTCTCCCAGGCTCTCTGTCGCTATTTGGATCACGTAAGGACCTGCCTTACAAGGCTAAAACACTTGAAGATACCGAATTGCTCGAATTGCCTGTGTCCCTAGGTGCGGCCTTGTTCCTTTCTGGACGCCGTCAGCCCTCATGTATCTCGTAACCAATCCGGCAACATCCTGTAATGGCTATTCTATGAATTGGCTAGCAATTCGTGTGGATTGGTTTGTTACTCGCCAAAGACTTGGCTTATAAGGTAAAAAGCCTGAGGCGTCGTCCAACCAATTCAGCGTCTCGCGACGTTTAAAAGCTCGGCATGATGCGCTCTTGCTACCCTAATGCTGCTCCCCCACCTTTCCTGGAAAACACTCCCTGCGGACCTTGTGCACGTTTGCTCCCAATTCTCTTCCACCATCGCTCGAAGGAACCAGCGATGGCAATGTCCCGATTGCCACACAAGCGTCTCCTGCCGTCAAGACCTCACGAAGCACATGAAGATACACGTGAAGACTGCAGAGAAGTCAGCAGCTTGTATTCTTCTTCTTCAGGCGTGCTTATCGTTGAGGCAGCTATCGTGTTTGCCCCGATTGTCCTGTTCTTCTTCCCCAGACATGCGATCTTGACGGTCACAGGCTCAGACACCAGTGCGTCCACTATTCTATGTTATTTTGTAACAAATTGACACGGGTTTTCAGCTCTGGTAACGAAAAGTATAAATGCACGGAGGATCCGGACTGCCTTTGGGGCGGGAGTACTGAGGACGGGCTCGCCCACCATCGGAGAAAATATCACGGCAAGGTTGCACCTCACGGAGATGGCATTTCCAACGAGACTCCCTACGAAGGTGAACCTCCACTCAATCCCCCACCCTCATCGGCGTTGTCGTCGCACGATCTCGACGCTCCAGTCGATGGCACGAAAACGTTCACGGACAAATCTATCGTTTCCCCGGCGGCCCTATTCGATGGACAGGCACAGGACTTAACCAGGAACGAGGACGTTGAATATTTTTGGACTTCCCCCGGGACGGGCTTCAAACACGGCGACCCATGCTATTCCCCGGAA